AAAGAACATACAAAGGAGTGAAGTAATAAATAATCCTCCCCCCCCCGTTGAAGTGTTGAAGATATGATCTACCACCACCCCAAGCCCCCGCGGGGTGGGTGGGGGGGGGGGGGTATATTGGGGATGTGAAGTCCCCCATTTTTAAAAGTTGCCAAGGTTGAGAAACACTGGATTAAAGCATGGTATGAAATGTCAGAATAAGGCAATCACAAAGAATTGGGAATAGCAATGAAGGCCAACATAAAAATCACAGTAATAAAGATTTACAGTATTATTTTTATTTATTTATATATCAGATTTGTCACTGCCCATCTCATTAAAAAATGACTCTGGGTGGTTCAAAGAGAAGTGAAAATAAATTAAAAATACAATACAAAATAGTTCTGAATAAATAATAAATAAATATAGTCCAAGTTAACTGGCAAGGAGCTTGGGGAGTGTCATCAGGGCCCCAACCACTCCCAGGATGGATTAAGATTCTTGTTGCCCCACATTACAACGTTATGGTAAAAACACATATCTCATGTTTGCCTCTAATCAGCCATGTCATCAAAACTGAAGCAACCTCTCTTATCCAAGTCAGTGTTGATTCTAAGTGACGACATAGATAGATTTTCTTTGAATGGATCTGTCTCCAGCCTGGTCCTTCAGGTCTTCCCATGGTGCCCCCATCACCACTGTGACTGAGTCCATCCACCTTCTGCTGGTCGTCCTCTTCTTCTCCTTCCTTCCACCCTTCCCAGCATCAGAGCCTTCCCCAGAGAGCTGGGTCTTCATGTTGATTGATTGATTAGTGCCATCAGGGGGGTGTTGACTCTCAGCAATCACCTAGATAGTTTTTTCCAGAAGGATCTGTCCCCAACCTGGTCTTTCAATGGTGCCCCCTTTGCCACTGTTACTGAGCCCCTCCCCCTGGCTGCTGGTCGTCCACTTCTTCTCCTTCCTTCCACCTTTCCCAGCATTAGAGCCTTCTCCAGAGAGCTGGGTCTTCACGTAATGTGTCTGAAGTAGGATAATCTGAGCCTGGTCATTGGTGCCTTGAGTGAGAACTCTGGGTTGGTTGGTTTGATGATCCATCAATTTGTTTTCTTGACTGCCCATGGTCTTCTCCAGAGTCTTCTCCAACACCAAAGTTGGTGTGTTCTAAAATATTTTTACACCACGGAAAACCACCTCCCAATTATTTCCAATTGTAATACAATTTCTGTTTCGCCCATGTGTAGATGCTGTGGCATTTTTCCAGGTTTTTTAATATATTTGCTCAGCAAGGCTAAAATGGGGAAGAGCCTACATTACACAACCCAGGCAATTAATATAGCAATCCATATTTTTATTATTCTTATTACATTTTTATCCTGCCTTTTTTAATATATAACTGAAGGTGGCATTTAGTTAACTTGAGTTAGCATGTTGTACGAATCCAGCTAATGATTGATTTAGTTTCATTTTACAGACTTCAGGGATTTTCTTTTTTTCATTTCTTAAATTGTATTTATAAAACCAATAAAGTCCCAGGGTATGTACACATTTAAAACTCCAAACTTGGAGTTTTCTCCCTTTGTAGTTTTTCCTCTTCTGTCACCCTCTCTCTTGCTTCAGTGAGAGCCATATTTTTCTTTAAAATAAAAAAAAATAAAAATAGAAATATGTTTGTTATTATTTTCAATTAGAGGATGTGTAGGAAGTTTGCTATAAATCCCAGTGGGTCTGCGTTTCATTTTGATCAGGAAAGATTAAAATGCTTGAATTCACATTGACATCCGCTTCGCATTACAGAGATATAAACGAAAAAGGGGGGCGGGGGGGCATGCGTGTGCAAAGATTGATTTAAAGCGACAGCCAACGAACAGCTTTGGAGCAAGAGAAGAGGCAGATTGTACAGTTTTGCTGTATTTAAACAACAACTTAAGACCCTTACAGTCCATAAAATCTTCCATCCGGTTCCTTTTGATTCTCGCTGCCAATATAAACCGCTTCCCTCTGAAAGGGATCTTTTGCTTAATTATGTTTGCAAAATGTGCTTATCATCCTCACAAAAAGAGCACTTTATGGTTGGTTTTATTTTGTTCTGTTTTGTTTTTTTGGCTAGCTGAATTTTCTGGAATTTATCCCCCAGTTGCTTCTGGGAACAGTTCAGATGCGTTGAGATTCATTGTATAGGCAAGGCACCATGAACGGAGATACGGTTGCAACCTTGCGAGTTACTGCCACTGAACTCCGTGGGATGAATGTTTGAATAGGCCTCCCCCTTGTAGGACTCCATGGGGACTGTAGAGGGGGTGAAGAAACCTGTGGGGTGCAAATCATATGGGGTAACCAAAAGACCCCTGTTCAGATTGGAGCTAGTGTGGTAGGATGAGGAGCAGAGGGACCCATGTTCTGGACCCCCTTCAGCCACGGATGCTCCCTGGGGGCCTCTGGCCCTGTCTTCCCCCCCTC